CGAATATCTCGAGATAATTATATATAATATTAACATCAATATTAATATTAATATTATTTTATATCATATTAATTATATTAAATTAATTAATATATCATATATTATAATATTAAAAGAAGAAAATAATGTTGTGAAAATATAATAATATTGATATTTTCACAACATTATTTTCTTTTTATATGAAATTTGAATTGTTTAATTGATTTAATTAATTGTCAATGCTTACCGCTGTTTCAACGAGAAGATAATGAGTTTAACGGTCAACTTTACATGCGCCAAGAAGCTACTCAGACAATCCATTAGGTCGAAAAGATTGTCGATATGAAAATGCGTTACAAAATATCGATAGTGGAAGAATTGATTAATTGCTAGGGTAATCATCCAAAACACTCTGTAGAATACAACACATGATATATCTGGCCAGACACCGAACATGGTGAGCATGAGTTCTACCGTACGATTAATCGTACGTTTATTCGTCATAATTTTCTATCTTTCCCTATTACTGTTTATGTACAAGCATCAAGATTCAGAGATTCTTGTCAAAGTATAAGAAACATATGCTTTTACTGAAATTATATTCTCCGACCACAGGTTGATATAAGTTGTGGGAAATTTGCATGAAGACTGAAAGCTTCCAAGAATATTGTCAAGCGGGTAGCAACCCTGAGCGATTGACCAATGACAGTCGCTCATTAAATATTTTTATCCTACCATATCCTCCTAAGAGGTAACTTCTTGTAGTTAAAAAAAAAAAATAAATAATCGTCTCGCATTCTCTTCGGTTCTTTGACAATTCTGTGCTTACGCATAATTTGCTTAAATATATAATGTACATCCGGTGGTAAGTCGCATTAAGCGACCTTTGAAAAAAGTCTTAAGATTCAAAAGATAAGAAAGAGATTCGAGGAAAAAAGAGAAAGAAATTGACCATATAATTCTGCATGAAATATCATTTAACTGCCATGAAGCCTTAACGTCTTGCGAACAATCACTTTTACGAGAAAAGAAAATATATCTTTCAGATAAGACAATTATTGTACATTCTCAATACATTTACCTTAATAATCTTTTTAGAATACTGTATAGAACTCATGCACCGTACGCTATTGCATATCAAAATTAAATTTAAATTCAAGTCTCGATAACATTAAAAACATGAGAATTAAGATATGAAATATCAGGAAAAAATGAAATTATTTAATATTAGATGTGTGTGTGTGTGTGTGTGTGTGTGTGTGTGTGTGTGTGTATATAATTATTCTTGCGAATTTTATGAGAGATCGTCGCTATTTGACCCAATCTATTAATCTTTTTCAGGCAAATTAAAGAGAATTTAATATTGATTTTATAATTAACATGATGTGTTTGAAATTATTTATTTGTACGTATGTATGCATTTGCATTATTGAAGAAGAGTAAAGTAAAAATGTACAATTAAAGTGATCTTTATATGTGTAAATTAATTAGATGTATAATAATTTACACTTACAAGTTATTATATAATAAATGATTACTACATTAACCACTAGCACTTTTATCTTTAATATAATGCCAGCATGACTGACATATAAGATGCCGAAGCTTTTATAATCTATAACAATGTAATGTATTTGTCATTAAATTGATAATTAATTGAATGAAAATGCAAATAATAGATTAGAAGATATATGTGAAATGTTACATGTAAAATATGATATATATAAAATGTTATTTATTTATTATAAAAACTGCAGCATTATAAATAATAGCTATGGAATTATAAGTACATATTTTAATTTTAAAAACATTTTGCATTTTCAGTACAAGAAGAATATTTCGATATTACAATATTCTTACACTGATAAATCGTTCGAAGGAAAGATCCATGAATTTCCCAACTGTAATTGTCAACTGATTTTGCGATCTCATTATCAAAAATAAGATTATCCGACTATCTTGAATTTTGCATTGGTACCAATGGGAATCATATGCGGCATCTCCTATTTCCTTGTTCTACTTATCCAGAGTTAAGGAAAAAAAAAAATCAATAGTTTGCTTGTTGTTAATAATTGGACGCGCCATTAATGCTAACCTTAACACTTAAATACTCCCCAGCGAAACAAAACATGAATACCTCGAAATTCATTATGAGATAAAATCCAAGAGATTTTATTATAATCGTAGTAGCATTCGATTTTCCAATTGACTGGAATATTAAAAATAATATTTTGTGATAATGGCAATTAAGATAATTAGAAAATAATTAGAAGTTGTCGATTAGAAGTTGTATAAGTAAATTATACAAATTGTTTATAAAACAATATTTATTAAAAATTAATTTATTAAAAATTTTATTAAAAATTTTTTATCGAATTATTAACTTTTTAACACAATTACTTACCGTAACGAGTATAAATCCGAGGCCACAAATGATCAAAGTGTCTGACAGAAATAAAACCAACGCGATGTGGGAGTAGAGATTTTCGATGCTTTTTGAAAAGATAATAATGTTCTGATGTTTTTTAATAATTTTTCTTATCATTATTAGACTCGGTCTGTATTCGTTTTCCCTTGAAAAGATTTCTGTTAACCATTTACGAAGAATCTCAATTTGGCCAGATAAATGTAAGACCTGGAAGATTTCGAAAACTTTATTTCTTTCATCCTAATTTGTTATAATTTGCAAATTACATATTGTATTACATGTTGTGCGATAATATTACATTATATTAAGGTGAATTTAACAGTTACACAGATTTAGATTATAAAATTTTTTGAAACAATTTTAATTTACTCACCAAAATAATAAGAAGAGTGTTTACCGTGACAACGGCACTACCACATATAACTACGCAAAGGAATTGTAAGATTAATATCAATCCATAAACGAAACGTGTATCGTTATTGAATGGGAAATCCATCTTTAGGATAAGTGGACGCATGGATATGTCAACTTTTTCTATGTTATTTGTGTCAAATGTGAGAACGGTTATGCTATACAAGGTTATGGCTATCGAAAAGGCACCGAAGACGAAATTAGAGAAATTCTGCGACAAAACGGCTTTGCTTATTATCACACGCATATTAAAATCGGCATTGCTATTCTTCTTCCAATCCATCGCCATCATCGCCAATATCTTTTCGAACGTTCTACGGGCAATTTTATTAATACGAGTTATTTTATTAATTATTTTACGAGTCACAAGTCACAGTATCAGAAAAGAATTTTAATTTAAAATATATTAATTTAATATTAATTAAAATTTAATTTATTAATTAAGGCTATGTATGTATAAGAATTTATACAGTGTGGAATAAATTGCATATAATGCAACTAAGTGATAATATACCTCTTGACATATAAAAATATTGTTGATATATTTATATTATGTATATTTATAATAATAATTAGCATTATTTATATTATAGCTATCTTACCGCTGATTAAGCCAGAAAATGACGAGTTTAGAAACAAATTGACTAAAGCCTAGGGTTGCACTTAAACTATCCATTAGATCAGCAAGATCGATAGTACGTAAGTGCGTAACAAAATAACGATATTGAAAAAACTGAGCGACTGCAAGTACAATCGTCCAAAACAGTCTATAGAAGGCAATGTATGGCGAGCCTGGCCAGATACCAAAAATACGAAGCGGAATTTCTACAAATCGATTAATGGTACTTGTAGGTGTTTGTTCCATTTTTTTTTGTTTTCTCGTTTCTGTATAGTTAATCCGTTTACTACGCTCTCGTCTTCCTCTTAGACAATATAAAATTTGTGAACAATGCGACGTTAAACAAATCGAAAAATAAAACCGATTAGTTGTATGAAGTCAAGCGTCTCTACACAAACTGAAAAGTCTCGACAAAAAAATGATAAGAGATGATGAAAGAACATATGGTTTTCTCACAGTCATTAAATATTTGCGTTTACGTTTAAATTACGCACGCAATTTCTGCACGTCTCTTGTTGCTCGCAGAAAAAGAGAAAAAAGAAAAAACACGAAAAGCGAAGTATCTTATAAATCGATGATCCTGCAGTGTGCAGTGGTGAACGATTTGCTTTAAAAATTCAAAAGCAAACGTTGGTGTGCAACACGCGAAACGTACATCGAATGTTAAATTCATCGCTGTGATCATAAAGAAAAATTTTCGACCTGCGTGGAAATTGCATGTTCGGAGAAAATCAAAAGTGTCTGTCACGGTTGTACACACTTACGATTGCAGCGGGGTGCGGGGAAACAAAGAAAAAAAAGGAAAAAAAATTTACAGTCGGAGCAAATCTTCACCCTCTCACTCTCTGTTTGTTCCTATAACACAATAACAAAGTAATGTAGTTAAAATGCAAGGTGCTGTGCGCGCAGAAAGCGTATAAAAGCCGAATGGAAATCGATGGGACTTGAAGCAGAGAGAATAATGAGCGAGCAAGAGAGGGAGAAAGAAAAAGGAGAGAGAGAAAAAATTGTAAGCTCACTTTGTTCAACTTCATTTAACACAACTTTACGTATTTCGAGCTATTGATTTTTCTTCCCGAGTTTATTCTGGCTTTCGACGAAAACGCACGTGCAAGCGCACTGACACATGTGAAAGAAAGAAGAAGAAAAAATGGCAAGTAACATTGGTTTTCAACTTCAATCCGCATGGAAATTTTCTACAATTGTAAAAATAACCGATTTTTAAATCCATTTTAGTTCGGCAGAGCAAAAGCAAAAAAAAATGATGAAGAAACTAAAAAAAGTTTATTACCTGTAATTGCGCGCGTATTATTTATTTATCGTAATAATATGTTAATATATAAAAAATAATCGAAATTAATATTAATTACAACATAAAATGTTATTACTTTGTTTTATTAAAAAATAATACTATACGTTTAAAAATAAAAGAAGAAACAAGAGAAATAAAGGAATTAACAGAGAAATATAAAAATATATAAAATAAAAATAAAAAGAAGAGAATTGAGATGTAACAGGATATTAGGAACAATTGAGATGTGATATTTGAGGAAAAGGATAAGTTATGGAAAATACGACGATGTGTAAGTGTCAGAAAATAAAATACAGAGAGAGGAAGCATGAGCTATGATACAAAAAAATTAGGAAATATGGTAGTATATGTAACAGACATGATAAAATGATAGATGTTGGGAAAAAAAACAGAAAATAAAGAGAAATTATATCAAAAACATAGACAAAGCTAAAGAAGAGTTACAAATGGCTGAAATAAAATACGAAATAAAATAAGTATACGTGCAGCGAGATACGTCAGGAAAAGTAAATAATCAGAAATTAAGTGGAATATAGCGTAAGACAAATATGTATTTTTTTGCGTTGTGCGCTCAATTAATGAAACATTCTAAATGGCTATAGAAAGTAACGAACAAAATGACAGAGTATATAATGTGTAGAATTAAATGTAAATGCTACCTAATTAATTTATAAATATTTAAGTTTACAATTCTTCATGGAATTAATCGTAGTTAATTCTCTTTTCAGGATACGGCCAGCAGCACAGATATATAGGATGCCGACGCTTTCACGATCTGTAATGAAGAACGGTAATTATAGAAAAAAGATGAAGATTCTCACAAAATACAATAAAGTGATCTTCAGCTTACACTGGTAAAGCATTCCAATGACAGATCCATAACCTTTCCGATTGTAATTGTTAATCGTTTTTGCGATCTGAGTATCAGAAACGATATCGTTCGACTCTCATTTACATGCACATCATACCAAAGAGATTCATACGCCGCATCCGCGATATGTTGACTCTGACAGCCGGATAAAACAAAAAGCATTATAATTTTAAACATAAACACAATTTTCACATTACGTAAAATGTGACAGCAGAATTAAATTTAGAAAGCTATATAAATAAAAGTCAATCGTCAATAATCCTTATATAACTGCGGCGATTAAATCGATGTAAATGTAAAAATCTACGTAATATATGCGCTTGATTGTTGAGAGTTGAAGTTTACAGAATAGTTATTAATTAAATGTCACTCGCTGCCAAGATAGAATGTATATTCGTAGACGACTTTAAAATGAATTACAAAAGTCGAGTTGCCGAGTAAACATTACACGCTAACCTTTGTACTCAAGTATTCTCCGGCAAAGCAAAAACTGAACGCCTCGAGGTTCATGACGATGTAAAATAGCAGAGTTTTCACCAATATTGTAGAAAGGTCTGGACTGTTTATTGACTGCAACATTATTTGCATTAATATTCTTTATACTCCTTTTCACTTTCATTCATCCTTTAAACTACGTAATTATCGCAATTCACTAAAAAAAGAAATCCCTTCTTTTTTAATGTAATTATTATAGAAAATAATATCATTGAATGGAATTCTAATTGAATGTTAAAATTCAATATAATTGTTTATAGTTTTTCTTATTAAATTATTAATAATCTACTTTTAATTATTTTTAAGCCAAAATTATATTCTGAATATTTTCGTGTCAACATTTTTAAATGATATAACTTTAACTGCTGAGAGACAAGAAGTTTTAATAATTAATTTTTTATTAATGCTTTATAATTTAACTCACAATAACGATAACAAATCCTATGGAGCAAATAATCAAAGTATTCGATACAAATTGCATCAGCGCGATGTAACAATAAAGATTCTCAACATTTTCTATATATAGAATAATCTTCTGATGTTTCCCTATTAAATTACTCATTGTAATTTTGGTTAAGGTATGCATACTCTTTTTAGAAAAAACATTCATCAGCCGTTCTCGTAAGATATCGATCTGGCCACCAATATGAAATACCTAAAAATCAGCAAAAACACAACAATAATTATTGTGATAAACCTTATAATTTTTTATATAACAAAATTATTAGAAACATATGCGTGCATATATACAAGTTAATTGAGTAAAATTAATAGAAAAGCATACAAGTAAAATCTTTTACTTTAGTAAAAAATATTTTTATTTTATTATTTCGTACATAATTATAAAATATTTGCAGTTAATTATATATATATATATATTTGTATATAAAATTATAGAATATAGAATTAAGAATTAATTAAGAATTAATTATATATAGAATTAAGATTTATCGATTATACAAAGTTATCTAAGAGGATAAAAGATTTGAAAGTTATTACAAATTAAAGGAATAAAGTTTTAATTTATGTACTTCTCTTCTAGACATTACTTTAAAATAAATTAAATTAACTATATAATAACTAGAATAGTTTAAATTTTAATTTCTGGAATTGGTTTAAAATTTTATTTACATTCAATTATTGAAAATTTAATAATGGGAAGTTGACGGTTATTTCCCTAAAATGTTTCCCTCGAGATGTGGCAATAAATCTTTTGGAAACTTACCAACGTCATGATTAAAGCGTTTAACACATCGATCGCACACGCTTGCGTTACCAAGTGAAAAAATTGCGCGATCATTACGAGCTCGTGTACGGGTGAGCTGTTGCTGTCGAAGGGAAATTCCATCCTCAGGATAAGCGCTCGAACAGGAACAGTTGATATATTAAAGTTATCACCCGCCGTATTGGACAGAATTACGCCGAGACTGTAGGTCACCACAGCAGCCATGTGAAGGCCGATAATTGCATTCGAAACGCGATATGACAGATTAGCCATGTTCGTTGTCGTATGCATACTAAATGAATCTCCCGCGCATTCTTTCCAATCCGCGGCGATCATCGTCAAGATACTACGAAACTTTCTACACTCGTATTGGAAGATAAATTCCGAGTAGTAACTTAACGGAATTGCAAACTTGAAATTATTATTATTTATTTCAAAAATTGAAATTTATTATATGGCAACGAGAAATGTGAAATTCAGAGAATAATCGGACGGACTCACCGTTGATGGGTCCAGAAGATAATCAGTTTGAAGAGCAACAGACTGTATGCCAAAGAGCTGCTCAGATTGTCCATCAAATCCATTAGTTCATCGGTGCGGTAGTGCAGGACGATGTAAGCATACTGACAGATTTGTACGATAATTAACGTCGCGGACCAAAACAATCTGCGCAAAGCGGTAAACGAGACGTCGGGCCAAACACCGAAAGCACGAAGAACGAATTTTATAGAAAAGCATATCGTACTTGTGGCAGACATTTTCGTAATTATTAGGAGAAAGAAGCTCCTTAAGGATTTATGAAGTATCGGACATCGGCAGATGTTGTGTGTTTCTTTGATCGCGAGATATATCGCAAAATGCTGAAGATTGGAATATTACTGCGAAAAGCACATCGGAAGCAAATGACCAAGAACGATAAAAGATTAAATATCATTTTCTTAATACTAGACGTGAGATCCACGATTGTAACTATAGCTCCACAATTATGAAACCATTACAAACTACTATTACAAAAGAAAAGCAGAACATTCGTAGAATTTGTTCTTTCGCTTCATTTTTCCCTCTCTCTTTCTTTGTTTTTCTCTCTTTATCTTTTTTCTTTATCTTAAATGTAATGCAACAGCAACGAATTATAAGATTAAAAAATGCAAAACGGCGTGCGCGCAGTAAGTGTATAATGTTCGAATGAAAATCCCGTGGAAAAATAAAAGAAAAATTGTTGGAACTGGAGCAAACAATTTCCCCACGAGAGGGGAAAGCCACGGGATTGCATTGTCCGATCTCATTTAATAAACATTGCGTATCTCGAGTTATCGATCTACTACCTGGCAACTCCTGGAGTTTATTCTTCTTGCGTTTTTCGAACGAAAGGCATACGCGCGTGCAAGTTGATACACATGGGAGAAAATGGGGTAAACAATATTGCGATAGTTCTCAACACTTTTAATTATGTGGAAATATTTTGCAACTAACAAAAACTGACCATTAACGCTCATTAGAAATTCTTTCGATGTAAATAACAAGTAATAACGCTTTAATACATCGCGAGTAGACCGATATGTAAGAGGCCGAAGCTTTTACAACCTGTAATAATATCATCGGAGATCATTGTAAAAAAAGTAAAACGTATTAATTATAAACATTTAAACATATAACATAATATGTATGTATGTACAGAGTGTTGTAATTAATGATTCATTTCTCATGGAGTAGAACAGATTATTCTGAACAGAGAAGTTGTGAAACATTTTTATGATTTTTATAATAATTAGTGAGATGTATTAATTAAAAATCCGCGAATGAATGTGCGTCCACGTGAAAATGCAACCCACATTATTCACGCTTACACTTGCTAGAAACACGAGGTT